AATAGACACACCAAGGGGTCTCAGCCGATACAATTTATTCATTAAGTATTGGAAATCACTGTCATGGCATACACAGCATGCATTCATTTTACTTTTCTGCACTGTGTTTTTACTTTGTTGTGACAGTTAAAGCAATAATTGGGAGACACTGAAAAGCACTAAATGATTATATATTCTGCTTTTTTACTCATAGAGTATGTGTTATACTGGGGATGGTGGGTTGAACATGTATTTTCATTCAGTCTTTAGACCGGCTTTTTGCTACAGAATTTCAATTGTCTGCCTGTTGCATTTCTATACGCAACATTTTGTGTGTCTTACAATGTCAGCTCATTTTGTTCTGTCCATTTAACAATTTCTTTGTTTACAAATATCATAATGTGGTGAATTGAAAACTGAATTGCAAAGATCAGGCTTAAATAGCTGAGATGGAACATTTCTACAAAACAGCTATTTAAGCCAAAAATGAGCAGTTCTGCTTTCCGTTGCATACAATTTGGCACTTAGAGAATACACCCTGTGTTAGTAAATGTGACACTTCCACTATTTTTAAAAAAAATGTATCTCAGTAAGGAAGTATTTTCACAATGCATTACTACTTATATTACAGGGAGAGAACGTGGAATGCAAAAACAAGGTAATGAAAGAATTACGCCTAATTATTTATGAAAATACAGTCTCAATTATATAAAGTACATGAATCCTTCAAAATGGAAAATATTATTGGATTTTATTATTTGTGCAAGTATTAAATCATACAAGGTGGATTCACAGAATGCCACTTCCATTGAAGTATATTGTATAAACCCATTGTGCATCACATAAAATAATAAGTAAAAAATGTATCACCCATTTGCTAAACATTTCAAAGTCATACCCTTTGGGATCAAATTCAAACAGAAGGACCGAGTCCATAGCCTGTGGGCAGAAGGCTGGCCTCCAAGCCCCTCCACGAGCCAGGGGCACAGGGGCTTCCGTCACAGTATATTTTTATGTTTTTATTTAATTCAATGTTTGTTGACTATTACAGAGTTTGATGAATGATGTCAATCAGATTATTTAAAGCATGGGTCCTCAAACTCTGACCCCCCCTCCCCAATGTTGCTGAACTACAAATCCCATGATTCTTTGAATTACATAGATAGCCAGAGAATCATGGGAGTTGTAGTTCAGCAACATCTGGGGGGCCGGAGTTTGAGGACCCATTATTTAAAGGATGGAGAATTTATTTCTATGCCATTCATTACTTATGTATCTGTTTTTAGAACTAGGAATACTACTGTTTGGTATGGTGTACAAATTTCACAGATCTGCATGGAAATCACTCTACATTTTAAGTTGCCAACTTGTATCTTGACAAATCACATCACATTGGTAAAATGGTGAAAACGTGTTGAAGATTATCCTTCCTTATAGCAGTAAATTCAAAGTGGGTCACTTTGAGCAGAGTATTGGATGTATCAGAGCTATCTAGATCACCACAATCTGTCTTGTATTCTATGAAATTACTAGTAGTCACTAGTCAGAATAAAATAGTCAAAAACATTTCTATGGCAACTGTAAACAATAGTCTGCAAAGCATTTCCCCTAAGGGAACACAGAATGCAAATACACAGTGGAACTATCTGGCTAGCTACATTTCACCAATGACAACACAGTATACAAATGCAGCATGAAGTGGGCAAGAGACAGAGCAATTTGATCTGGATAGAGATGTACAATAGGTAGATGGAAGGGAACTAAAATGGGCACATAAATCTGAATGTTCTTAGAAGATTCAAGAAATGTTATGCTGCATCTTCTCATTGTATGTAAAATAATGCAGCCTCAATGTGGTGCAGTTAGAATTAAGCCAGGTCACCTGTATATCTGGCAACACCGGTCAAACCCTAAAACCAATTGTGACAGTTGTATGCAGGACACTTTGTAAAATCTCTGATAAGTCATCAAGTTTCAACTCATTCCTATGATATTTGCTAGTGTTCCATTTGTGCTGAATGAGTCACTTTTACATTTTTGGAAATAAAATATTCCAATTATTTTGGAAAGATTGGCTGAAAACGATTAACCCCTTAAGGACACATGACATGTGTGACATGTCATGATTCCTTTTTATTCCAGAAGTTTGGTCCTTAAGGGGTTAAATATATGTGGGAGAACTTCAGAAATGTATACCTGTGTGTGACTTCAGATAATATTCTGGATTGAGTTTCCCCAATTTCCATATATGAGCCTTGCTAAAGTGGTTTCATATGGGTTCTGGGATTAACAGATTATTGAAATTCTAAAAAATGAAAACTACTCATTGAATAAAGATATCAACTTTTATAAGCACACCTGTTTGCTAGTACTGCTATTATATAGTAATTGTTTAATATTGTATTCAGAAATGCATAGTTTGTGCCTTTGGTGACTCTTGTTAATATAGTTACGTGAAAAGACGATTTGCTGGAGATACAGCCTTAAGACATGTGACGTGTGTAGTACATTGTTATGGCCAATTAAATCCCTGGGTAGACAATGTATGCACAGTGACCACACAGCCATCAATTCACTTTTTATAATTAATTCTTATATTTTCAGACTTTCTGTCTAATTGCAGACTTTGTGCGAGTTAAAGTTGTATCTGAAGGATCCCCTGAACCCCCGGCTTGCTGTTCCTGCAGAGATGACACAGTGATGACATTACGAGATGGCAGATGGAGTCGGTGAAGTAGCACACAGCTCCCTCATGGCAGTGTGGGAGTGTGTGATAGGAGGTGCTGGGAGCTATGCCCGCAGCAATAGTGTAACAACAAGGCAGGCAGGAATCATGGAGGGCGGGCGGGGACCAGGGCGCAGTTACCACCGGGCGGGCAGAGTCAGTGTGTGCCTGGTACTGCAGAGATTGTGGCTTATGGGCGGAGCTTTACAGAGTGGGGTGGATTTGTTGCTAGGGGCAAGGTATACAGGGGCCAGGATTCTGTTGCTATGGGAAAGTTATGCCTGGGCCAGGGTTCTGTTACTAGGAGCAGGGTATACCTGGGTCGGAGTTCTGTTACTAGGAGCAGGGTATACCTGGGTCAGGACTAGGAGCAGGGTATACCTGGGTTACTAGGAGCAGGGTATATCTGGGTAAGGGTTCTGTTACTAGGAGCAGGGTATACCTGGGTCAGGATTTTGTTACTAGGAGCAGGGTATACCTGGGTCAGAGTTCTGTTACTAGGAGCAGGGTATACCTGGGTCAGAGTTCTGTTACTAGGAGCAGGGTATACATGGGTCAGAGTTCTGTTACTAGGAGCAGGGTATACATGGGTCAGAGTTCTGTTACTAGGAGCAGGGTATACCTGGGTCGGAGTTCTGTTACTAGGAGCAGGGTATATCTGGGTAAGGGTTCTGTTACTAGGAGCAGGGTATATCTGGGTAAGGGTTCTGTTACTAGGAGCAGGGTATATCTGGGTCAGGGTTTTGTTGGTAGGGGCAGGGTATACCTGGGCCAGGGTTCTGATGTTATGGACAAGACATGCGTGGAACAGTTGCGCTGCTAGTGGCAAGAAATGAATGGTCGGTATTGTTGCCAGCAGCATGGTATGTGAGGATCAGGTGGATAACCCTGGCAGGGCTTGTAAATTGCCAGAACTAGGATATGAGAAGGTCAGGTGAACTACCAATAGCAGGTATGAGATGACAAGGTGGGCTGCCAGTAGCAGGTATGAGGTCAGGTGAGCTGCCAGTAGTAGGAATGAGAAGATAGGCTGGCAGTAGCAGGTATGAGATGGCAAGGTGGGCTGCCAGTAGTAAGTATGAGAAGGTCAGGTGAGTTATCAGTAGTAGGTATGAGGTCAGGTGAGCTGTCATTTGTAGGTATGAGGTCAGGTGAGCTGCCACTAGTAGGTATGAGGTCAGGTGGGCTGCCAGTAGTAGGTATTAGGCCAGGTGAGCTGTCATTAGTAGGTATGAGATGACAAGGTGAGCTGCCAGTAGTAGGTATGAGGTCAGGTTAGCTGTCATTAGTAGGTATGAGGTCAAATGGGCTGCCAGTAGTAGGTATGAGGTCAGGTGGGCTGCCAGTAGTAGGTATGAGAAGGTGGGCTACCAGTAGTATGAGAAGGTCAGGTGAGTTATCAGTAGTAGGTATGAGGTCAGGTGAGCTGCCAGTAGCAGGTATGAGGTCAGGTGGGCTGCCAGTAGCAGGTATGAGGTCAGGTGGGCTGCCAGTAGCAGGTATGAGAAGATCAGGTGAGCTGCCAGTAGCAGGTATGAGGTCAGGTGGGCTGCCAGTAGCAGGTATGAGAAGGTGGGCTACCAGTAGTATGAGAAGGTCAGGTGAGTTATCAGTAGTAGGTATGAGGTCAGGTGAGCTGTAATTAGTAGGTATGAGATGACAAGGTGAGCTGCCAGTAGCAGGGATGAGAAGGTGAGTTATCAGTAGTAGATAGGTCACAGTGAGTTGTTGGGATCCTGATCCACAGCTATGAGAGCTGCCTGTGTAACAGGTGATTCAGTCGGAGGGGGTGCGGTGAGTTTGGGGCGTGTAGTTGCTGGGAGGAGGTGCTGCTGCCGATCTAGCGGGCGTGGAATAAGGTGTGCAGTGCACGCAATACATAGAGCTGCTTAACAGGGCTGCGAGTTTCGGGGCGGTGCTACTAACCTGGGCATGGAGTGGGAGGTGCTGGTGGTTTGGGGAGTGTGAGTGGGAGGTGCTGGTGAAGTGGCCGCTCCGGTCTCACCTGTGTCACTGTCACCTGTCTCTTCCGCCGGAACCGAAATGGTAAGGACACTCGTCGAAGTTTGGGGGTAACGCAGGATAGGAAGAAATTGGGGGTGTTTGGGAATTTAGACAGGGGGTGCAGGAGTTCCAAGTGCGCCAGATATAGGGGTCTCCCCCCGAGTGGGAGCCACATACTACCTCTGTAGGAGACACATGCTAATAGACTGTGTATAGGAGAACTTCCCATGGATAACCTGCTCACTATAACTAATACTACCAGGGTGTTAGCTATCACTTCTTTAGAAATGTGACTGTCTCTGTTCATATCCTGGTGGCCTACCTAGAGAAGTATATTATTTCTTTCAGACAGAGGTAGTTTCAGCTTCTCTCTTTAATGTTGATATTCAACATTCAAGTTTAACCACATTTTCCACTAATATCCTCCTTAAAGCAACACCATAAACACCAAAACAGCTTTAGCTTAATGAAGTTTGTTTATTGTAGATCATGCCCCTGCTCGGTTCTGACATTTAGGAGTTAAATTTTGTTTCTGTCCATGCAGCATTAGTCACAACCTCCCTTTCTGACTCACAGTCTGCATGTAAAAAAATACATGCATTTCAATCAGATGTAAAAGGAACACTATAGTGTCAGGCAAACAAATGTGTATTCCTGACACTATAGTGTTAAAACGGTTATTTAGGTGCCCGCCCCTCCCTCAGTGGAGAAATAAGGTGTTTAAACATTTCTTTTCTTCTCCAAACTGCACTGGTCTTGCTGTGGTTGGCTCTGCCTATGTCTGATCTCTTTAACCCCTTAAGGACACATGACATGTGTGACATGTCATGATTCCATTTTATTCCAGAAGTTTGGTCCTTAAGGGGTTAAACATGATGGTCCCAGCCAATCCAATTCTTTGGGAGGCTAATGCGCATGCACAGAAAACCCTGCACTGTTGCAATCAGCATTTCCTCATAGATATCCATTGAATCTATGCATCTCTATGGGGAACATTCAGTGCTCCTTGCAGAGTGTGGAGGCGCTTAATGCAAGTGCAGGACTGACTCAGGAAGAAACTCTAGTGGCCGTCTGAGTGAGGCGTTCCTAGGCATCAATGTAAACACTACATTTTCTCTGAAAAGGCAGGGTTTACATTAAAAAGACTGCAGGGACTGGCTATAGCCATGAAGTTGTTTTTTGTTCTGTGACTATTGTGTCCCTTTAAGCAAATAATTGGATTGATACATGACCTACTAATATAAACGTGGGTTTAAAGCATATGAGCCCAATTGATATGTATTTTTTTTTTTTTTTTAAATAAAATCTTTTGTTTATCAAATTTGGTGGATGATGGTCATTTCTCAGCTAGCATGTAGTCAGATTACATTTGAATCCCCGTCCCTTTTGATAGGGTCTGTTATGGACAATGACAAATGAAGTTTATTGAAAAGTTAAGTACTTCCGTCACTAAGTACTATAAGAGTTTACGGTATGCTCTGGTTGTCAAACATACAACCATAAAGCTAATGTATCCATTTCGTGACTTGTATCTAGGGCAATCTGCTCTTTTCCATAGTGAATACCACTGTGTTAAAGGGACACTCCAGGCACACAGACCATTTCTGCTCATTGGAGTGGTCTGGGTGCCAACTCCCACTACTCTTAACCCTGCAACTGTAATTATTGCAGTTTTCTTATAAACTGCAATAATTACATTGCAGGGTTAACTCCACCTCTACTGGGTGTCTACTAGACAGCCACTAGAGGGCACTTCCTGGTTTCTAGCACAGGAAACCTATGCTAGAGTGTCGCTGGACGTCCTCATGCTGTGTGAGGACCTCCAGCGTCGCTAATTTCCCCATAGGAAAGCATTGAAAAGCATTTTCAATGCTTTCCTATGGGGAGCTCTAATGAGCATGCGCGGCATTGCCACGCATGCGCATTAGGTCTCCCCGGCCGGTGGGCGGGATCAATCTCGCCCACCAGCCGACGCAATCACTAGGAGGAGCGGTGGCGGAGGAAGTAGCAGCGACGTGGGACATGTTGCTGTCTCTGGTAAGTGACTGAAGGGGTTTTCACCCCTTCAGCAACCGGGGATTGGGGGGTGGGAGGGAGAGGGGACCTGCAGTGCCAGGAAAACGGATTGTTTTCCTGGCACTGGAGTTTCCCTTTAATGTAAATGAATCATGGTAGCATGCACCATGCCAGATGTGAAAGGTTAGAAAGGGAGCAGAGATACATTGTTTAAAAAAAAAATCTTCAGACCTGGTTGCAGGTATTAGCAACCAAATGATGAGATTGATGCTGTCTGCACTCTTTCTTGTTTGCTGTGTGTGAGCCAATGCTTCTCAAGTCCTTCCATGGAAACTGTGTCTCCTATGGAAGGATGATGAGAAAGAAATTGCCAAGGCAGCAACAGTTGGATGTTAACAAAAAACAAAAAACATGTACACTAAACAATGCTTTCTTCACTACTATTAGGGAATACAGGAAATGACATAAAATTGGGGTGAAGTGGACTTTTAAGTGGAAATGAAAGGGGATATAAAGTGAGAATGTGGACATTACAACATGGAATTTTATAGCCGATATTTGTAAAGCAAGAAAGATTAACATGTAAATCTATAAAAAGGAGTGGATAATGGCAATGGAGGAGATTAGATGAAGCGGTATGTAAAGCTGTTATTGTACTATGTTTTCTGAGTCTTTGGTTTGCACATGTTTCTATCTTCTATGTGTGGGGGTTTTCATGTAACGTTTGGCCTTTTGTAGCATACGTTTGACATTTCTGCACTATGCATTGGTGGTTGTGCATGTAGCGGCGCTTGCTGTACCCAGCTGGGTACCTCCGCGGGGGTCCGCTTCCTAACTGGAATTGGGGAAAACCTCTTTGCTTTTGCCCCAGTCGCCGTGGCTTGACTGGGGTCCTCCTGGAGCCTCTCTATCCTGGAGCAGGATAGGGAACTAGCTCTATTCACTCCCAGGGACTGAACGAACACGGTCCTGGGAGCTCTAGTCCTTACAAGGACTTTCCCGCTGAATCCTCCATGAGCTGGAACAGTGATTAGCCCTTTCCCCTCCCAGTAACTAGACGACACATTATTCTGGGAGTACAACTAGTTTAATGCATCCCAATACAGCTTTTTTATACACAGAACCCAGCAGGGGGTCTCCATTGTCTTCACCACAAGCCCTTCTCAGGAATCTCTGTGCCTGGGAGATAATTGCGTTAAAGACCGGTAAGCAAGAACAGAGAGGCAAACATAAAAATATAAAACGTAAAACTATCCCAAAACATAATAAAAACATAAAATAACCCCACAAATAATACATCTTTAAATAGCCCTGATCTGAGCGCACAAGTTCTCCAAATAGCTCTCAAATCCATACAGTGTAGGGGAAACGCTACCATGTTCGGGAGCTGCAATACGGGGTGCTCCACCTGGCTTTTAGGTAGCGTTTGTTCCCCTTAGTCTCATGCACCTTCCCTCCAAATCCTGGCGGATTTTAAAGTGTTTCAAAACCATGATCCAAGTTGTCCGGGAACTGCAGGTCACCTCATGCTGAAAACAGTTCCATAACATTCGTGGCTAAGTCCCGCTGAGGTGACCGGGATCCTGCTAAGTCCTCATGCCGAATTTAGTTCCATAGCGGTCGCGGCTAAGTACCGCTTGGACTATTCGTGGGTCTGGTTCATGTGAACGGCCACCAGGGAGCCAGCGTTCGGAACTATTCTCATGAAGGGAAAGTGACAAGCCAGGGGCACCCAGGGATAGCTACTAGTGGCAGCTTGGCAGGGTAACTCCCAAACTTTGTCCCAGACCTGGACCATAGTCTGTTGGCAGGAAGCCAGCTTCTACACTCCTCCAGGAGTCTGTGGGAAGGAGCGTTTGTCACAGTGCACCAACATCTCCTGTCTTGTCTCTCTGCATATAATCGCTTTTATAACAGGAGCAATTTGGATAAAATAACTGGAGCTGTAAGCCCACCCCTCGGTGACAGACGCCACAGGGTAATCTACACGTTCTTCTCAGTGCAGCAATGATTGGGTTACTGGAGTTCGTAAAAAAAGGTTCTGAGTCTGGTACCCAAATATAATAGGTGTAATATAAGTAAAGCCTACATTCGCTAGATAGGTTCACCCCCACCTTTTTCATATAATGTGCTTGCTTTTACGCTGGCATGGTCAGTAAAATGAAATCCGGTAATTATACTGTATGTAATATAAGGAGCCATAGGTACTATTCATTAAGTAGTTACTTGAAGGTTTTGTGTACTGACTCCACAGCCCTGGTTCTTCTTGCCCATGCAAGTACATTTATGGCAAATACATGCTGGACCCCACCTCCACTGACTGGCTAATTCATGGCGTATTGTAAAGGAGGCAGAGGTAGACAAAATTGTGTTTGAGCTGGTTTGTCCAAATCAAAATCCATTTAATTCACACCCAAACAAATCCATTTGCCTGGGATTTACCAGTCGAGTCTTATAAAAGGTCAGACCTCGATGAATTGATTAGTTCAGGTGTGGACAGAGAATTTTGATTTGGACTAACTGGCTCAAAATAATAGTTGAACAATTTCAGTCTGAGATGTGGCTGCATGCATACACAGAGCTGTTGGCTAATCTGCACTTCATAATTGGAGGGGCTAATCTTGCTGTCGTTTGGCTTAGCCAAACTGCAGCAGACAGGGTGTGCTGTAGGCAATATGAGAGAAGTTTTAGTCTGTCTGCTCAAATGACTTGATACAATGACACAGCACTCTCACGGGGTTAATTACTTAAGTGAGAATTCAAGGTGAATTGCTAATGAATTTCAAATTTAAGGTCACAATAGCCAAACTGGAAACATTCTCTATGCCATCTATGTTCATGCATATTCACAATGTTCTTTTTGTGCAATCCCTAAAATGTCTGGCACATGATAGACCAAAAAGTAGATCACCAGCTGCTATACAACTGCAGCCACCATACTTGTACCTTATATTGCCGCACCATTGTACATCGATCAAATTTAATTTTTCTCATTGAGCTAACTTGTTTTGGTGTGAAATGTGACCAATGGCTATTTTGCACCACATGACCAGAGACATTTTGGCTGTGGTTTTTGTTTTCAAACATAGAAACATAGAATGTGACGGCAGATAAGAACCATTCGGCCCATCTAGTCTGCCCAATTTTCTAAATACTTTCATTAGTCCCTGGCCTTATCTTATAGTTAGGATAGCCTGCATAGTCTGCATGTGAGTATGCTTACTGTATAATTAAACGTTTTACCCTGAAAGGACCAATATTTTATATTAGAAAAAGCAATATATATATATTACTCAATCATCTGTCCTGGCAAGACATAGCCTTACATATTACACGCGACAATATATGGCGCAGTGACTTATGGGGCTGGCACAAATTTTTTTTCCAGGGCTGCTTTGTATCCCCAGTCCGGCCCTGCCACACGGTCTCCTAAAGGAATCAGCTGCCATCTTGAGGGGCTATGTAGAAGGAACTCCAGGGACTGTGGGCCGCAGTCTCTAAGTAACTTTAGGTTCCAAGCGAAGGGTAGATCCAGACTCCGCCGGCATCCGCCATTGGGGAAGATATAATCCAACTGACCAGTCAGGCTAATCACATTCCTCATAGATGTGGTGCTCATGAACATATAGGTAAGTTGCTTCTCTGTCTCGCTGTAACTCGGTATATGTGGCTGTATGCTCCACTGCCTTGCAACCATAGGTGTCAGGAACCCCGCAAAGATGTGATCCAGTCATGTCAGTGATGCTACAATGAATCCGCGGTTGAGTCTCTGTCTGCGATCCCTGTTATCTTGGGATCTGCGTAGGCCAGACGGAATGGTATATGTGTTTTGGATGGGCTCTGGAACTGGGATAACCCCCACTGTTCTAATTTGGTGGGGGGGGGGGAGCAGAGAAGTTGGATCTGAACATCTGGATCCAGCATCAGGAGAGCAGCCGTCTCTCCCATGTCTGCCCCACTTGAAGGCCGCCAAGATCGCTATTCGGGCAATCCCGATGAGGAAGGCACCAATTATTCTCGCTCGCTCAGCGCACATCCACTCTGCTTGACAGTCCGGCTCCGTCCCCAACATATTGTCTCTTTTTCTTCTGGTTGTTTGGGAGTTAAAAACTCAACAATAAGGTTTTGTGTTTTTTTTGAACAGTTTCAGTAATTTACGATGTGAGTCATATCAGAATTTTACCTGCTGAGATTCCAAACTCTCTGGTATGTGGATTTTAAGTTTTATCTGCGGACTAAAAATATTTCAAGTACAGTATTGCATAGCATTTTTTTCCATTTCATTTTCTATATGCCAGTGGTGTCCACCCTAGCCTTTCATCTGTGGTCTGACTATGTTACCAAGATTTCTCTGTTTGCCATTAACTGCAGGACATTCTGGGTTATCTGTTTTATTTTGTTTGTTTTAGTTTTACAATAGACAGTAGTGGTATAGAGCAGTGTTTTTCACTAGTGTGCCGCGAGATGTTGCCTGGTGTGCCATGGGATGTCTGATGTTCTGATGTCCGGGCTGGCCCACCGGGATACCGGGAAATTTCCCGGTGGGCCGCGGCACCTGGGGGCTGCGAGGGCACATATGTGCCACCGGGTGGCCGGTCCGGTGGCACACTGAGAGGGGGCCGGCCGCGTTCCAGACTGGAGCCGCCGGCCGGGTGGCAGCTTCGCCGGTCTGGCGGCACTCCAGTCACTGGCTTCTGATGGCTGATGGAGGAGGAGCCTGTCTACCATGCATGGTAGACAGGCTCCTCCTCCATCAGCAGCCAGTGACTGGAGTGCTGCCGGACCGGCGAAGCTGCCACCCGGCCCGGCGGCTCCAGTCTGGAACGCGGCCGGCCCCCTCTCAGTGTGCCACCGGACCGGCCACCCGGTGGCACATATGTGCCCTCGCAGCCCCCAGGTGCCGCGGCCCACCGGGAAATTTCCCGGTATCCCGGTGGGCCAGCCCGGACATCAGAACATCAGACATCCCATGGCACACCAGGCAACATCTCGCGGCACACTAGTGTGCCGCGGAACAGTGGTTGAAAAACACTGCTCTATACCACTACTGTCTATTGTAAAACTAAAACAAACAAAATAAAATAGATAACCCAGAATGTCCTGCAGTTAATGGCAAACAGAGAAATCTTGGTAACATAGTCAGACCACAGATGAAAGGCTAGGGTGGACACCACTGGCATATAGAAAATGAAATGGAAAAAAATGCTATGCAATACTGTACTTGAAATATTTTTAGTCCGCAGATAAAACTTAAAATCCACATACCAGAGAGTTTGGAATCTCAGCAGGTAAAATTCTGATATGACTCACATCGTAAATTACTGAAACTGTTCAAAAAAAACACAACCTTATTGTTGAGTTTTTAACTCCCAAACAACCAGAAGAAAAAGAGACAATATGTTGGGGACGGAGCCGGACTGTCAAGCAGAGTGGATGTGCGCTGAGCGAGCTCCTGAGCTTGGCACAACTTTTAAACCAATTATTCCAGTCAGTCTGCAGATATAGCCACAAAACAGCTCTTATTGTCAAGGGTGCACCTTAGTGAATTAGGAGTTACAATAATTGGTGCGTTCCTCATCGGGATTGCCCGAATAGCGATCTTGGCGGCCTTCAAGTGGGGCAGACATGGGAGAGACGGCTGCTCTCCTGATGCTGGATCCAGATGTTCAGATCCAACTTCTCTGCTCCCCCCCCCACCAAATTAGAACAGTGGGGGTTATCCCAGTTCCAGAGCCCATCCAAAACACATATACCATTCCGTCTGGCCTACGCAGATCCCAAGATAACAGGGATCGCAGACAGAGACTCAACCGCGGATTCATTGTAGCATCACTGACATGACTGGATCACATCTTTGCGGGGTTCCTGACACCTATGGTTGCAAGGCAGTGGAGCATAC